ACACAGGGACTTCAGAGGAGGTTTGAGATATAGTATTAGATCTCACACTTAGTAGCCCTTCTTTAAAGGTTCCATCTGATCGTAGGCTGACTAGATTCAGTCAAATACTCCACTTTAAAGCAGGAAACCTCACTGTTTTTTGTTCTTGCTTTTCCTGGAAACAATTATTTTCTTCTGGTTTGAAGTGCAAATTATAGCAGGACCCAAGAACCAGCTTTTCCACTGTTGGGTCTTCAAGAAGCTCAGAATGCAGGAGATCCAACCAAATTTTCTCTCAATTGTCTTCTGTTTGCAGGACTACAGCAGTGCAGCTAGAAGGTGAACAGTAAACAAGAGTCTTCAGATTGACTGACTACCAGAAATTGGGTGCTTATTATGTGACCTTGCACAAGCCCCTTCCCTGTTCTGGGCCCCAGTTTTTGTTTCTGTTGATGACAGAATTGGGACTAGAACAACTACTTTCCTTCTGGTGCTCACATTCTAACCAATATGATTTCCTCAATCCAAAAGGAAGAAATGCTCCATTCTTCCCTTAGTCATCTGAATTGGCATAGCCTACATTTATTTGGCTTGGCTCACTCAGCTAGGTTATGGATGGATCTTTGAGAACAAACCCCTCATAGTGCCTTAGAGATACTCTGAAAGGGTAGGATATAGTCCTTGAACTGAATCTTTAGACCTAAGGCATACTGCAAACAAGTATTTGTTAGAGTAGGTCATGGGTATATGTTCTCTTTTTTAACTTTAGTTGATACAAAGGAAGTAAAGGTCTTGCTTTGGCTAGTATGAAGTACCAGGAACAAGAGAATGTGACTGTGTGCTACTGTTCACAAATTACATCTCCTCATAGAGGTTTACATCTTACTTAATAAGTTGGGTCTTGCCAAAAAAAATACAGAAAGGTGACTTAAATGAACATAAATATGAAGAAAAACCCCTCAAGTTTGGCAAAACAGGTACCTTTAGAACTGAAGGCCTGCTGGGAAAAACAGTCATCTACTGGGTTGGAACAAGGCACAGTTGGAGCAGTGGTTTGGGTAGAGCCTGCTGCAAGCAAGGGAGACAGAACAAGCTAGGGGTTGGTAGCTGTCCTGAGTGAGCCATTGACCAGTGTGTGTGCTTTCAGTGCCAGTTGCTGGCAGCATCTGATGTGAGGAGCAGGCCAGTTACAGTTGTCTGGGGAAGCAATATCAGAAGGAAATGAGAGTTGGCATGTGCCTATAGTCCCAGCTACTTGGGAAGCTGAAGTGGGAGGATGATGAATTTGAGCCCAGCCTGGCCAAAATAGACTCAGCTGGTTGCAGTGGCTCATGCCTGTAATCCCAGCACTTTGGAAGGCCAAGGCAGGCGGATCACCTGAGGTCAGGAGTTCATGACCAGCCTGGCAAACATGGTGAAACCAGCCTGGCAAACATGGTGAAACATGACGAGTTTGAGGCTCAAACTCATCTCTACCAAAAATAAAAAATTAACCAGGAGTGGTAGCATGTTCCTGTAATCCAAGCTACTTGGGAGATTGAGGCAGGAGAATTGCTTGAACCGGGAAGCAGAGGTTGCAGCACGCTGAGATAGTGCCACAGCACTATTCCAGCCTGGGTCACAGAGCAAGACTGTCTAAAAAAAAGCCAAAAAAGGCTGAGCATGGTGGCTCATGCCTGTAATCCCAGCACTTTGGGAGGCCAAGGCAGATGGATCACCTGAGGTCGGGAGTTCGAGACCAGCCTGATCAACATGGAGAAATCCCATCTCTACTAAAAATACAAAGTTAGCTGGGCATAGTGACATATGCCTACAATCCCAGCTAACTTGAACAAGGGTGGCGGAAGTTGCAGTGAGCCAAGATCGTGCCATGCCTGGGCAACAAGAGTGAAACTCTGTCTTTAAAAATAAAAAAAGTGAGACCCTGTCTCTAAAAACAAACAAAAGAACGAAAAAAGGAGAAAAGGAGAGCAAGGCCATGGGCAGCTGAGACTATCTTCAAAGATAAAACTTGGGTTCCTTTCCTGGAATCCTTGAGACTGAATCCTAAGGAAAGGTAGTCACAAACAGCTTACCCTCACTCAAAACTTCACTTTTAAAACTTTATTTGGTGGGGCACAGTGGCTCACACCTGTAATCCCAGCACTTTGGGAGGCTAAGGTAGGTGGATCACTTGAGGCCAGGAGTTTGAGACCAGCCTGGCCAACATAGTGAAACCTCATCTCTCCTGAAAATACAAAAATTAGCTGGGTGGTGGCACATGCCTGTAATCCCAACTAGTCAGGAAGCTGAAGCACAAGAATCACTTGAACCCAGGAGGTGGAGGTTGCAGTGAGCCAAGATCGTGCCACTGTACTCCAACCTGGGTGACAGAACTAGACTCCATCTAAAAATAAAAATTGAAAGATAGGCAATAACCTAAATGCCCACTAATACAGAGCCAACTGGTTAAATAAATTATGGTATATACTTGGAATACAATATTAGGTAACCATTAAAAAGAATGAGGCAGTTTTTTTCAGCTGGAGAAAATCACAGAATTAGAATGCTCAGAGCTGAAATGATCTTAAAGATTAGCTAGTTCTACCTCCTACAGGAAAGAAGGAAAATGATTTACCTAAGATCATACAGTCAGGGGTGAGACCATAATCCAAGTGTTCTGGTATCTATTCCAGTGCTGCTTCTATAAGGGTATGCCTTCACTCCCGTATTATTCTTTGAGGTACTGAGGAATACAAGGCTTTTTACGCCTCTACCATATTGAAAATCAGGATAAAGGAAGCTCATAGTAGAAATATACTTACCTATCCCATATGTTTTGTGTTTCCCATGCATCTTAACAATTTAAAAGTCTGTCTCTATTAACCACACAAGATATAATGTCTGTAGAACTTGGTCTATTTGGGGCAAGCCAGACTATCTGATGCACTACAGTAGAAAGTCCCATAAAAGTTTTCCTCAAAAGCAGGCAGATGGTTCTCCTGGGACAATATTGAATTATTATAGGATGGAGAATATTATTTATAAATAATATATATAGGTATATATTTTGAGATGGGGTTTCTCTCTTGTTGCCCAGGCTGGAGTGCAGTGGCGTGATCTCAGCTCACTGCAACCTCCACCTCCCTGGCTCAAGTGATTCTGCCTCAGCCTCCCAAGTAGCTGGGACTACAGGCACCCACCACCATGCCTGGCTAATTTTTGTATTTTTAGTAGAGATGGGTTTCACCAAGTTGGCCAGTCTGGTCTCGAACTCCTGACCTCAGGTAATCTGCCCACTTCAGCCTCCCAAAGTACTGGGATTACCAGTGTGAGCCACTGTGCCCAGCCTATAAATAAAATCTCTAAATAAAAAATTTCCCTGAAACTTTTTGGTCCTCTGTATTAGGTATTAGGAAAGCCTAATACCCTAAAAAATTTTGGATGTTCATTCCACATTAGATATATGCCTATCTTGCTTCAAATTAATTTGAGGGAGGAGGAGGTAATTTTCTATTCACCGGACAGCAGCTCACTTCTACATGTCATCTACTCCTACATTCTCCTATCACATTGTAGATGTGAGGAATTTCCAAGATGTTAGTTTGGCCATCATGTGTGCTCATTGATTTATATAGCTTCTGACACCAGTATCTATTTGCAAGACCCCAGATCATATAAGGACTCATATTTTTATTTCTGAAAAATGTTTCTTTGAGTAGATACCTGCTTTTAATCTGACATCCATCTGTTGTCTCTGGTTAGGTGTTCACAGACTATCAGAAATATATAAGAAAAGTACCTGGTTAGAATAAACCATCTGCCAATTTTCCTTCCATTCTGAAGAATTAAATATCTGATCTGAGTCAGGGCACCAAAAAAAAAAAAAATTAAGTATCTGATTGTAATATGGTTTGATAAAGGAGGGTGGAGGCTGACAGAAAAAAATTCAACCATAATAGATATCAGATCCATCCAACATAGTTTAAAATATACCAGAATTGGCAGGGCACGGTTGCTCAAGCCTGTAATCCCAGCACTTTGGGAGGCCGAGGCGGGTGGATCACGAGGTCAAGAGATCGAGACCATCCAGGTCAACATGGTGAAACCCCGTCTCTACTAAAGATACAAAAAATTAGCTGGGCATGGTGGCGCGTGCCTGTAATCCCAGCTACTCGGGAGGCTGAGGCAGGAGAATTGCCTGAACCCAGGAGGCGGAGGTTGCGGTGAGCCGATCGCGCCATTGCACTCCAGCCTGGGTAACAAGAGCGAAACTCCGTCTCAAAAAAAAAGAAGAAAAAAAAAATATACATATATATATATATATACCAGAATTAGACCTAATCCTAACAATTACAAGCATAGTTTATGTAAGTGCGGAGTTCCTGAATATGGGGATAAAATTCTCTCATTTGTTTTCTGATCCCAGAGTACTAAGCTACATAAGAAAGCTTTCTTGAACCAGGTTCCTATGTTCATGTATCAATCTTTCTTTCTTCTTCTTCTTCTTTTTTTTTTTTTTTTTTTTTGAGATGGAGTATCACTCTGTTGCTCAGGTTGGAGTGCAGTGGCATGATCTCGGCTCATTGCAACCTCCACCTCCTGGGTTCAAGCGATTCTCCTGCCTCAGCCTCCCGAGTAGCTGGGACTACAGGCACCTGCCACCATGCCCAGCTCATTTTTGTATTTTTAGTAGAGATGGGTTTCACCATGTTGGCTAAGCTGTTTCGAACTCCTGACTTTGTGATCTGCCTGTCTTGGCCACCCAAAGTGCTGGTATTACACGCATGAACCACTGCTCCCAGCCCATGTATCATCTTTCTAACCAACACATGCTGTAGATAGTCTTCCAGGATTGGCAGCTGAGAGCGTTTTCAAACTGTGGGCTTTAGAGACCTCAGTGTGTCAAGAAACAGGAAGGTGAAGGGGTATCATTTCATATAGGAAGTCCTCACCTAAACTGACCAACGCTGACTTCCAGTCTTCTGTGGGAATTAAAGTCTTGGAGGTATTAAGATAATGAGGGATGTTCCCTATTATAGGAAGCTGGAGACAACAGCCAGTTCTGCTGGAGGAACCTCTTTTCCTGCATCAACCTCCTGAGGCTGCTCAATAAACTGACCAAATGGAAACATTCCAGGACCATGGTAAGTGTGGCTTTAGATCATGGAGTTGTCCATTTGACTGAATTTTTTAAAACTCACTAGTAAATATTTGTGTACTGCCTGGTTTGTGAGGTCCATATATAGACACTGAATGCTATGTAACATTTAGCACCTCCTAATTCTGGGCACTTACTCTATGTTAGATGATTACTTATCAGTCAATTTATTTGCAGGGGGCTGAATCTCAGACCCTCCCTAGGGCAGCTCTAGCAGGGAAGTTAGCAATGTTGTTTGGATTACACGCATTCACAAATGATGCAAGTCTAAGAGTTATCATTGCAACATTGTTTATAATAATGAAAGCTTGGAAACAAGCTAAATGCTTATTAAGCAGGACCAACTGGTTAAATAAATGATGGTATGTCCTTATAATAGAATATTATGCAATCATTAAAAAGAATGAGCAGCCAAGCTCAGTGGTGCACGCCTGTAATCCCAGCACTTTGGGAGGCTGAGGCATTAGGATGGCTTGAGCCCAGGATTTCGAGACCAGACTGGGCAATGTGAAAAGACCCCCATCTCTATTTTAAAAAAGTAAAAGAATGAGGCAGTTCTATACTGACATGGAATAATTTTCAAGGTAATAAAACAAGGTATAGAACAGTGTGGCAGGATATGTAGTTGGCTACCATTTGTGTTAACAAACAAAAGTAGGCCTGGTGTGGTGGCTCACACCTGTAATCACAGCACTTTAGGAGTCTGAGGTGGGATGATCACGTGAGGTCAGAAGTTCGAGACCAGACTGACCAACGTGTTAAACCCCATCTCTACTAAAAATACTAAAATTAGCTGGGTGGGGTCGTGGGCACCTATAATCCTAGCTACTCAGGAGGCTGAGACAGGAGAGTTGCTTGAACCTGGGAGGTGGAGGTTGCAGTGAGCCAAGGTTGCACCACTGCACTCCAGCCTGGGCGACTGAGTGAGACTCCATCTCAAAAACAAAAACAAAAGTAATGTATGCGTACATAGAATTATTGCCAGAAAATAAAAAACTGTGACAGTGGAAATGATATGTGTGGCTGACAAAATTTTCTTTTCGCTTTATACCATATGCTTTGAATATTGAAAACTTGGAATAATAAAATATGAATGGAGTAGTTCCCCCACCCCACTCTCTACATATATATTTTTTTCTTTTTTTTTTTTTTTTTTTTTTTTTTTTTCTTTTTTTTTGAGACTCGCTCTGTTGCCCAGGCCGTAGTGCAGTGGCACAATCTCAGCTCACTCTGCCTCCCAGGTTCAAGCAATTCTCCTGCCTCAGCCTACCTAGTAGCTAGGATTACAGGCCCGCACCACCACGCCTGGCTAATTTTTGTATTTTTAGTAGGGATGGGGTTTCATCATGTTGGCCAGGCTGGTCTCAAACTCCTGACTTTAGGTGATCCACGGCCTCAGCCTCCCAAAGTGCTGGGATTACAGGCATGAGTCACTGCACCCAGCCTCCCTCTGTATTCTTGAAGATTAAATCTAAGTTGACTGGACGATAAATTCCTGAAAGCTCCCCAGGGATTTCTGAGGCTAGCTAGGTTTGGTTTAATTTGTAAGCTGGAAATTCCAAGAGACGTTAGATCTTTACCTGCCTTTCTTCGCCCCACCCCTCTTTGAATGAACAGATGCTGGTAGTGTTTAAATCGGCACCGATCTTAAAGCGGGCCCTCAAGGTCAAACAGGCCATGCTGCAACTTTATGTCCTAAAGCTGCTAAAGATACAGACCAAGTACCTGGGGCGTCAATGGAGGAAAAGCAACATGAAGACCATGTCAGCCATTTACCAGAAAGTGCGCCACCGCATGAATGATGACTGGGCTTATGGGAATGGTGAGTCTTCCAAGAGCTCTTGGCTTCCCAGAGTTTCCTGGGGTTTAAACAAAACTAAATAAATATTTGTCTCTCCTCTTTTGACATGAATTGTTACATATTTTAGATGAAAAATATATAATTATAGGTGAGGTATTGATACACCAAACTTTGAGGTTATGCCTCAAATTCTAATATGTGTCCTTGTGCTATGTAAACTATGAAAATCCATTTTATAAAACAAGTAAATTGAGAGATAATTGCCCTTCCAAATCATTCTTTTAAATGACAGTTTTATCCAAAAGATTTAAAAAATTAAAGCAACTTTTCATTATTACAAAGCAGATATCCTATGGAAAATATAAGTAAGAAAACATTTTACTATATTATCATATTTATGTACAATCCAGAAATTGCCACCATTAATATCTTATTGTATATTCCTTCGGATCTTTTTCTATACATATATATGCATATTTTATTAAAATAAAAGCAAGTTATACATGCTATTTTGTAATTTTCTCTTTTAACATTATCTCTACCTTTCCATTTCAGTACGTTTTCATTTCATCTAATAAAATTCATATTCACAATTTTCTAGTTGTCCCCAAATGTTCTTTATAGCTATTTTCCAAGTCAGAATCCAATCCAGGACCACAAATTGCATCTGGTTGTTATATAAATGTTAATTCTTTTTTTTTTTTTTTTTTTTTTTTTTGAGCGAGAGAGGATCTCTCGCTCTGTTGCCCAGGCTGGAAAGCAGTGGCATGATAATGGCTCATGGCAGCCTCGACTTCCTGGGCTCAAGTGATCCTCCCACCTCAGCTGCCAAGTAGCTGGGACTACAGATGCATACCACCACCACACCTGGCTAATTTTAAAATTTTTTTGTAGAGGTGGAGTCTCTCTATGTTGCCAGGCTGGTCTTGAACTTCTAAGCTCAAGGGATCCTCCCACCTTGGCCTCCCAAAGTGCTGGAATTATAGGCGTAAGCCACCATGCCTGGTCTCTAGCAGTCTTCCCACTCCTACCATGAATGCTAACTAACTGAAGAACTAGGCCAGCTGTACTGCAAAGTACTCACATTCTGGATTTGTCTGTTTGCTTCTTTGTGGTGTTATCTACTTTATTCCTCTATCTATGGTATTACCTATAAACTTAAAAGTTAAATCTAAAGGTTAGATGAATTCAGTTTAAACCTTTTTGGCTGTAGTATGTCCTAGGTAATCTTGGGAACTGTATATCTTGTATATCTGTATATATATACATACTGTATACCTTGCCTTATATCAGGAGGCAAGATATTTGGTTTGACTAACAGAACTTGTAAGATTGACCAGAGTTTGGAAAAACTTATTTCGGAGAGCTTTTTTTAGCTTTGTATTTCCATAATTGTATTTGAGAATTTTTGGTAATGACTTGTATTTGCTGGATTTGTAACCTGCTTGAATTTTAAAGGATGATGCAGTAAAGAATTAAGAGAACTATACTTACTTACCTGGCAGGGAAAATACCATCATGATGAAGGTGGTTTTCTCGGGACAAGGCTCATCTATTGCACTCGAGATATGCTGACCCCTGCTATTTCCCCCAAATGTGGGAAACTCAACTGTATAATTTGTGGTCGTGAGGGACTGTATTTTCACTAAAAAAGAGTTTAGAGAACTAAGGGAAACATATGATAGGCACATAACAAGCCAGGATGCAACTTCTACTATAAGACATAAGGCACAATTATCTATTTAAATTCTTGTAAATGTTTAAAACATGAAAATGTTTTATCCTGCAAACAGCACATCTGTTGTTGCTGCCATTATGAGTACAAACTCAAACTACGCTTCCTTATGATAAACCATTGTGTGTAGGACATCAGAGATCTGGGAGATTTGTATCTTTAGCCCTGAAATAAGTGTCTAAGTGAATAGAAGCAAAACATGATCTGTTTCCTGTTTTTACCTTCATTGAAGCCATCACTTCATCATCTTAAAATAAGCTGACATACAGATTTATCACATGCTGGAGGAGATTCCAGGGAATCAGGAAAGTCTTCAGTAATTGGTCCATTCGGATTCTCCGTATTATACCCCTCTTGCCCCTTCCCATTCCTGGAGAGCTGGCAATTCCATTCAGATGGGACACTCTCATCCCCCAGGAAAAGCTCCATAAAAGATATTTAATTACACTTTTGGAAAACATAGTACATATAACGAGTAATACATAAAGCTAATAAGAAAGTGAAATAATGAAAAGGAAATACAACAGAAGAAGTCTACCTCCCTCTGGACTCTCATTTCCTTTCTCATAGGTAACGTAACCACTGTTACCAGTTTCTAGACTACCCTTCCAAAGATAATTTCTGCATGTACAAGCTTATGCATCTGGGCATATGTGTATTTTTTTAAACCTAAGTGTCAGCATGCCATATACTTATTTGGTACATCGCTCTTTACAAAAAAAATAGAATTCTGAGCAGTTTTATTTTTGGAATCCCATAGACCATGCTCTGTGGTAAAAGGAGCAGTGTTGGCTGGGTGCAGTGGCTCATGCCTGTAATCCCAGCACTTTGGGAGGCCAAGGCAGGCAGATCAGCTGAGGTCAGGAGTTCAAGACCAGCCTGACCAATATAGAGAAATCCTGTATCTACTGGAAAAAAAAAAAAAAAAAGAGGAGCAGTGTCTTGCATGTCTTTTTCTTCCTCTCTTTTCAACACAGACATCGATGCCAGGCCATGGGATTTCCAAGCAGAAGAATGTACCTTGAGGGCCAACATTGAGGCTTTTAACAGCCGTCGGTATGACAGACCCCAGGACTCTGAATTTTCACCTGTGGATAACTGCTTGCAGAGTGTGCTGGGGCAGAGGTTGGATTTGCCTGAAGATTTCCACTATTCATATGAGCTCTGGCTCGAGAGAGAGGTGTTTTCACAGCCCATCTGTTGGGAGGAGCTGCTCCAGAATCACTGACTAACCTCTTGTCAACAAGCATCAATAGATGGAGGTTGGATCCAATAAATGGTGCTCTGCCTACCTTGTTCATACAGGCTTTGTTACCAGTTCTAGGAGTGCTTACACAGGGAGATCAGCCTAAGAACATCCAGTATAGTTCAGGGCTCTTCTTGGGGCTGTTGGACCCAGAGATGGTGCAAGGGTAAGATCCTGAATCACAACAAAATGATCAACTTACCCAGAGGTCAGTTTGGTGTCCAGTTGGCCTTGGGAATCTTTTTGTGGATCAATCCTGGACAAGCTCTTTGGTGGGACCTCTTCCTGCTCTAGTCTTAACTAGAACCAGGCTAGACTTTGCTGGCTTTAAAGAGGAAATTTGTTATGGCATTTAACCCATGGCATTCGTCACGGATAGTGGGAGGTACAAGTTATAAAATAGGGAGAAAGTTTTCTTCTTGCTCACCCTGGATTCCTAGGACTTATCAGAGGTTTGGAAAAACCAACTTTGAAATTAAGTTTGCATTTCAAATTTCAAATTTGGACAGCCTCTTTCTAAAATCATTAGCTCAAAGATTATTTTAGAACACCTGCATCTTCTTTGTGAAGGATGATGATTTACTATTCCCTCAATACTGCATGTTATAGAAAAGTGTGTCGTGAAGAGTGTTTTTTTTCCCCTCATTCTGTAGGAGATCTATATTCAATGTGGAAATTATTTCCTTCTGTACTCTGTATAGGGCATGGAATGCTCTGCCATTTTTAAAGCGCCACAACCAATATGAAATAATCAGACCCTCTTTAAGGATGTTTCCTATTTTTCTTAAATGGCTCCAGTCTCAAAATGGCTGAGTACACTGCTGAAAATTATCCTTTTCATTCTATTCATTTTTTAAATGACAAGTTAACTATAGGAGGTTTTATTTATTCAGATGGTATGTCCACTTGTGCTCATGATCAATATATTTTTCTAATTGAAAAGATAGTAAGAGCTTCACAGCTTACCATTTTTCTTTTTCTCCAGTGTTAATTAATGATTTTTTCCCTTTTATTGCTAGCAGTTTCAAAGTGTCATGTGGAGATTTAAGCAATACTGCTTCTACCTAAAAGTATTGCACATTTCATTGAAAATATAAGAGTTGATGTACCAGCCTCTTTATATTTCTCTTTTACAGCAGGATCACATACTTTTCAAGATAAACAAGGTTTTTAGAAAAGTTTCTGATTTAGTTAGGATCATTTTATTTCTCTTCTGGCCCTGCAATTATACCATCTGTATCCTCAAGCTTTTTTTTTTTTTTTTTGAGACGGAGTTTCACTCTTGTTGCCCAAGCTGAAATGCAATGGTGCAATCTTGGCTCACTGCAACCTCCACCTCCCGGGTTCAAGTGATTCTCCTGCCTCAGCCTCCAGAGTAGCTGGGATTACAGGCATGTGGCACCACGCCTGGCTAAATTTTTTGTATTTTTAGTAGAAACGGGGTTTTACAATGTTAGCCAGGCTGGTCTCTAACTCCCGACCTCAGGTGATCCATCCACCTTGGCCTCACCAAGTGGTGGGATTACAGGCATAAGCTACCTTGCTCAGCCTCTTCAAGCTTTTTTACTATAAATGTTGTCCCCCTTTCCCAACTTAGGCACTACTGAATCTTTTTGTGATGGCACCAGGTCACTTTATACTAGGAGATCTAGTCAAAATTTGCTTATTTATTCTGCCCCTTGTCAACCACAGTCTCATTTGGAGATTATAAATAAAATACTTGGAAGTATCCAAAGGAGCTATACCAAAATCTAATAAGTAAATCTTGGATTTTACCTCTTTGTGCTTTAAAGTAGCAAGATTTCTGTCTTTAAGGTTAGGTCATGGAGAATGTTAAGTAATGGATGAAATTTTTAAAAATAATTTGTAAATTTTACTTAAGTAGGACAGTAGTCTTTATTGCAATCAAAATAATTTACTTGGGCGCGGTGGCTTACGCCTGTAATCCCAGCACTTTGGGAGGCTGAGGCGGGCGGATCACCTGAGGTCAGGAGTTCAAGACCAGCCTGGCCAACATGGTGAAACCCCGTCTCTAAAAAAAAATAATAATGATTTACTAAGCACAACTTCTGTAAATTAATCTATGGTCATGCTAGTATGATTTTAATGTGATTTGAGTAAACGGATAATTTTCAAGGAAAGAGTAGTCATTCATCAATTTATTTTAAGGCCAGATAGTATTCAGTTTATGTCAAAAACAAAGAAATTGCCTTTTTAAAAGCATGTACCTGAATGCTTTTTGAGGGACAGAAGTATGCTAAGCTTTAACATTTTATATTTATTTATAACCCTTCTCTAAGGAAAGGTTAATTCTCAGTGCAGATGAAGAAATTGAAGCACCAAGGATAAGTGATTAGTTTCCACTCACATCAATTTTTTCCACAGACTTGCTGGCACTAGCTTTCAGGTATTGACAGCCAGCCCCATATATTAAGGTAACCAGGTTGACTCTCCCAATTTGTGAACCCATGTTTGTGGTTAGGAATAAATTCAAATTAACTGTCTCCCAATGATGATTACCTTTACTACATAGAAAAACATTATTTGAATGTCTTACAGAGGATTTTTATTTGTGAATATTTCAGTAAAGTTTGTATTGATTGTTGATAACACTGTTCATCTACTGAAGTACTTTAATAAAAAGAAAATGAGCTGAAATTAGAAATTTGGTGTTTAAATTTTTCAACACAAGAGAACCTCAATGTCAGATGTAGAAAGGAAGGCTATAGGCTGGGCACGGTGGCTCACGCCTGTAATCCCAGCACTTTGGGAGGCCGAGGCAGGCAGATCATCTGGGGTCAGGAGTTCAAGACTAGCCTCACCCACATGGAGAAACCCCATCTCTACTAAAAATACAAAAGTTAGCAAGGTGTAGTGGCGCATGCTTATTTGCAATCCCCAGCTACTCTGGAGGCTGAGGCAGGAGAATCGTTTGGACCCAGGAGACAGAGGTTGTGGTGAGCCAAGATCACACCATTGCACTCCAGACTGGGCAACAAGAGCGAAACTCCGTCTTAAAAAAAAAAAAAGGATATAATAAAGTTAATATTACAAACTATTATTTTATTCCCAGAGTGTTCCCTGAGGATAGACTTAATACAAGCGAAAACTCCAAATCTTAGTGACTTTTGACAAATGTTACTTCTTATTCATGGGTCTGGGAGTCAGCCACAGCTCTGCTCCACTCAGCTTGCCTTGCTTGGATTGGCTCTGCTCCACAGTCTTCTTTTTCTGGCACTAGACTAATAGAATAGCTCCTACTTGGGACATACATTTTTTATAGTGAAGAGCAGGAGCAAGAGACAAACCATATACCATGCAAGCACATTCAAAGCTCTTGCTTGGATACTGTGTAAATCAAATTGTTCATATACCATTGACCAAAGCAAATCACACGGACAAGCCTAACATGAGACTGGAGAAGCATACTCTACCTACAGAGTGGCAAACATGGCTGGTATAATACTCTCATATTAGAGAAAGTGAATTGGTCAAGAATATCTGCTCCTATATTACACACAAAATATGCACAGCCCCTCTTCAAGGAAGACCGAAAATCTTATCCAGTCATGTGAGACCTGAGGTTTAGGATCTCATCTAGAAGAAGATGTAGTTGAAATGTTTCTTGATCTGTGACTTGTAAACTTAACCAACAAGATATGTCTACCTAAAATGAGCAAAAAAGACCGACTCTCCAAAGCGGAGTTTATTTGGAAATAGCAGGGGACTGCAATCTGGGATATGCATGCTATGGTAGACTATACGCTTATTTAAAGGGGTTGTGCCAAAGGAGAAGCTTTTAAAGACAGAAGTCCACGTAAACTCTTTTGAAACAAAGACCATTGGTTACAGGGGCTTGTTGCAGGAGTTGGCAATAGCTCATGGGTGGAGACGTTCATTGTTGGGTGAGTATCCTTGTGTAAGTGGCTTATCTGGAATATTGTGGTATTGAAGAATTTTTTGCACAGTTCCCATCATAGGCCCTCAAATGAGGGCTCCTCGTCCATGGCCTCAGCTCCATTTTGTTTGTTAGAGTTTGACATTAGTGACTCCATTTTGATAATGTCATCAGTTAATAAGCTGAATTGTGGTGGTCAATTCACAATGTATACATATATCAAAACATCAAGTTTTACTCCTTAATTATATAAAATTTTTATCGCTTTGATATCCAAACTACATGAAGTGTAAACCGATGTGAAGTGTAAAACTTGCCACACTGGGACTCTGGGAACATATGGGATAAGTGTGTAATGTTTAGGGTGGTTTGTCTTGACATGATTTCAGAAATCCTAGGCACACCAATTAACATCTGCTTTACCTACAATAATAGTTCCAGGTCAGTCTTTTTGATAACAGTGTGATAGGATGTTATCTGTAGTAAAAGAATGTTTTACAGAATACAGAATCCCCTTTTGTGAAATACCCAGTAGATTCTTTAGCAGCTGGTACTATTCTGACATGTGGTTAATGCTAGCACATACAGTTGGGATCTGAGTTACCTAGACCATCTCCATCCAATGCAGGAATACCTTCACTAGCTCCCCCTAGGTGCTTATCTAGCCTCTAATATTTTTACTGACAAGAACCTTACTATTTCACACTTTCATTAGTAACAACTGAACTGTCTATGACAGAATTATGTGACTCAATACAATACTATCAACTTTTGGTATTATTTGGGCCAGAAAAACCACAATTACATTTATGGAATCCAAAAACCAAACTTTAGCTACTAGTTGCACTTTCTTCCCCACTGTATTAGTTTCCTAAAGCTGCTATAACAAGCTACCAGAAACTGGGTGGCTTGAAACAGTAGAAAATTATTCTCTCTATATGCCTGAAGTCAGGTGTCACTAGGAAGGTGCTCCCTCCAAAGGTTCAGATGGGAGAATCTGTTCCCTGCCTCTTCCAGCTTCTGGGGGCTCCAGGATCCCTAGGCTTGTGGTGCATCACTCCAGTCTCTCTGCCTCTGTGGTCACAATGCTTCCTCCCCTTCTCCCTCTGCTTCTCTCTCATAAGGATATGTGTGATTGCATTTAGGACCCCCTCAGATGATCCTCCCTTAAAGATCCTGAACACCATATTCACAGTTTCCTGGGATTCAAATGTGGACAAATCTTTTTTGGAGCCACCATTCAACCCACTATACCCACTAACACTCATGAGAAATCTAACAAATAGCAACATTGGTTCATTTACTCCCTCTCTATCACCATTAGTAGTGTAAGGCAAGTCCCATGAGAGGTTATTTTTAATTGAAAAATGCTTGCAACTGTAAATGTATTCCAAGGAGATCCAGGTAATCTGGCTTGGATACGGGATATGCCGTGAAGAAGCAGGTATCCAGTTGAAGAATGCATTTACGTATTTATTGGTATTTTAATTAAGAATATACACATTAAAAATTCAGAGAATACAAGAGTATACAATGAAAACTAATTTCCTCCCATCCAGATCCCTATCTCCTTCCCCAGAAGTAATGACTATCAATATTTTTTTATCCTTTTAGAAAACTTCCACAATACTCATCCATCTCCTCCCTATCCACATTTTTTTACACAATTGGGAACACAAGACATGCTGTTCTATATGTGCCTTTGCCATTCGTCTTTGATATCTTTCCATATTAACATTCTATCATATGGCTATAAATTATGATTATAATCATTTAATAATATATTATGTTAATTACTTAATAATCGAATAAGTCTTCCCTAATATTACCTTCAAATACTTTTCACGTAAGAAGGGTATAGGTGGGAAGAATGGTGTGTAGCACGTGTGTATGTGTGTTGTGGCTGGGGTTAAGGGAGATTCACTAAGTTCCCATATCAATAGGTCAAAACAGTCTGACATATCATTTCCTCACAGCAGTTCTGGTTATTCAGACTCCCAAATCCTGTAAACGTAATGAGATGGTGCCTGAGTGTGCTGTGGGGAGGTGTTCAGGCTGTTTGCTTCTTTAGTAATTAGCCATATTTGGCCAACCACAGTGGCTCACACCTGTAATCCCAGCACTTTGGGAGGCCGAGGCAGGTGGATCACGAGGTAAGGAGATCAAGACCATCCTGGCCAACATGGTAAAACCACGTCTCTACTAAAAACACAAAAATTAGCCGGGCATGGTGGCAGGCACCTGTAATCCCAGCTACTCGGGAGGCTGAGGGAGGAGAATCGTTTAAACCTGGGTGGCAGAGTTTGCGGTGAGATGAGATTGAGCCACTGCACTCCAGCTTGGCGACAGAGCAAGACTCCGTCTCAAAAATAGATAAATAAAAGTAGACAGATTTAAATTTCAAAAATCAAGAATTTTAAATTTTTACTTTTATTTTATAGAAAAGAACCAAAGTCTTTCTAGGGAACTGCAAGACTACAAGTCATCCCACCTCTGCTCAAACACTTTCAGTGAAAGTGACTTCTTTACTAAATAAAACAGTGCCATCTGTCCCCTTGCCTCCAAATGGAAACATTACTTCAACCATTCTGTAACTTTTTGTTCAAATGCTTAATGGACCTGGCAGAACAAAGATCTTCCATGTGGATGCCTGTAAAAAGATGTCTTTGCCAGAAGATAACATTTTACCCAGAAAGGCAATACAGCATAATGGCTCAGATAGAGGGTGCTAGACCCAACTTGGTGAGCTATTATGTCATGCTCTGCCTCTATTAGCTGTGTGACTTGCAACAGATGGTTTAATCTCTCTATGCTTCAGATTCCCCATCTGTAAAGTGGGGATAATATTACTACTTACCTTCTATGGTTGTGTTAAATGAGTATACATTATATATGCACACATACATACACATAGTGCTTAGGAGAATGCTTGCTAAGTATGAGTGCCCAATAATTGCTATTATTTTTCCTACCTCATTCCTCTCCCTCTCAATCCCCCAGCAAGAATAATAAATAGCATTTTAACTCAGGGGTTGGCAAATTAACAGCCCATGGGCCAACTCTAGCCTACTACCGGTTTCTATACAGCCCATGAGCTAAGGATTTTTTTTTATTTACATTTTTAAATGGTTGGGAAAAAGCCAAAGGAGAAAATTATGTTCTGATATATGAAAATGAACATAGATACGCTCATTTGTTTACATGTTGTTTATACAGTCATGTGTTGCTTAGTGATGGGGATACTTTCTAAGAAATGCTTCATAAGGCAATTTCATCATTGTGCAAATACCATACAGTACACAAACCTAGATGGTTTAGCATCCGGCACACCTAGGCTATATGATATAACCTATTACTCCTAGGCTGCAAACCTGCACAATATGTTGCTGTACTGAATACTATAGGCAGTTGTAACACAACAGTGAGTATTTGTATATCTAAATATAAAAAAGGTACAGTAAAAATGGTAGACATCTATAGGGCACTGATCATGAATAGAGATGGCAGGAATGAAATTGAGTGGTGTGTGAATGTGAAGGTCTAGGACATTATCATAGACTCCTGTAGACTTTATGAACACTATACACTTAAGCTATACTATTTTTTTTTTTTGAGACGGAGTCTCACACTGTCACCTGCGCTGGAGTGCAATGACGCAATCTCAGCTCACCTCTGCCTCTGGGGTTTGAGCGATTATCCTGCCTCAGCTTCCTGAGTAGCTGAGATTACAGGTGCCCCACACCCGGCTAATTTTTTATATTTTCAGT